TGTCTGGGACAAACTCCTTTTCCCAAATGCAAGCAAACAGGTCGGACAAGCGCTGACTGAGGACTTCACCCCCGTCTTTGAACAGTGCAGGTGGAAGGCCCGCATGCTACCATGAGTTGCAGAAATTATTTCTTCATTCGACATGGTGACATCAGACAAGTCGTCTTATTTGCTGCACACTGTGGGACAGATTAGCGGACAAGTGCATTCACTGATGCCTCCTATCCTGATAATTGTAGTTTAACACTCGACCTATTTGACGATCACTTGTCCGTATTGCCCGGCTATCTGTTCGTCAGTTTGATCCGGGAAAGTATCCGCGGCACCACTGCTCGCAACTGCCGCTCTGCTTTTGTTAACCAACGCCGCCTTCACAGCCTTTAATTTTGGTACTCTTAGGGAGGCCGATCAGGAACTTGCTGTTGCATGTGTTAATGCTCTATCACAGCATTTATGAAGACCGAATGGAAGGTCAAGTATACCAGTCGAGCTTATGGTACCACTCTTTAGACGCTGTCGATCACAGACTTCAGGTTGCTCAGTTGTTGCTGCTGGTTGCTCCGGTGTCAGTATAACCCTTATTTGCTTACCTCAAGCCTTTTTGCGTGGTTGGATACCTGTAAACTGTCGTCTGCCATCCGTCTCTGTTCCCACACTAACCGCTGTTTGATTCACTGTACCTACCAACCTTGGTACTGATTCTGTGGAAGAATTCCAGAGGACTAATCACCGTAGTATCCATGACCAAGATTTCAGGTATGTCCTAATAGTAGTGGCTTTCATTGTGGAATTGGAACGTCTCACTTCATGCGATGATCGACTCGGTTGCGTGTTTCGTTTTCAACCAAGACGTAATGATATTGTTGAACGTTCTTTACAACTCCGTGCTGACCACCAGTTATTCCTCAATGGTACCAACTTTATACGTTGTGGATGCCGTAGTAACCTGTCTGCCCCCCACTGGCGTGCACATACTAACCTCTGAACCTTAGGAGGGTTGTCAACACTTCCTTTCAGGGCTGCAGCATAAGACGGCTTGTTAGACGTGCACTCCAATGAAGGCTGTTTGAATAAGGAGGTGTGGTGGACTCAGTTTGCTCAGAAAATGAATAGCTCAGACGTAACACGCTTTTGGTGCCTAGCTGCTATGCCACTCGGAGGAATTACGAGGGTTGGGATACTGTCAGGCTGCTCAATCCTAGAGAGGGAAAATCGAAATGCAGAGTTCGTTTTCGAATCACGAACCTTAAGGTCAGTAAATTTCCACTCTAACTACAGCCATCTTGTTCAACGAATAAAGGTTAGTGGGTCAAAGGATGCATGGAATCCGTCCCGGGTTATCCGCAAAACACGATCTAAGACCGCCTGTTAATCAGCTAATAAAAATACATTAGAAATCTAATGATAAAGCTAGCGGCTAGATCGTTGCTCGGAATATTTTCAAGAACACTCTGGTGGACCATCAGATTCTGTACCTTTATTTTGTTCGGCACGCTGAGCCCTGGCTGTGGTCTGTGAGTTTATATCCTCTCAGTTTCTGGAAAACTAGTATGCCTCTCTGTCCTAAGTTGGATCGGACTACCGAGCCAGATGAACTTTCATCAGAGTTAATTTAGGACCGTGGTGCCTCTTTGAATTGTTTGAACTTACTTGGGAACAAGGACTCGTTTCAGGCAATTGGGATCTACCAGTCAACCATCATACATACATTAAGAAATGATGCACAAAGCAATTGTTTCAACCATAGGGGTTTCAGATGGATGTGGTAACGGGTACATACAGTAAAAGCTCTGCGATGCCTAACTCCGGTACGTGAGACGTGAATCCGAGAACAACAAACAGGGTTGAGCCGAGGTAGAGGTTGATTTGGTCGCATCAAATGGTTTAGCAGGGCAATCCATACTGCCGACCAACGGTTGCGGTTTTCCTCTACTTCCTTGAAGCTTTTGACTCTGCAGGTAGGCCAGTTGTCTTACGTATACCCAGCAGAATTTTTTTCTTTCCCTGTAAAGGTTCGTAACGAACTGTTTTCCCACAGCTATTGCGGTTCCGTAGGGCTGCACTCTCTCCCCTTTGTCATTACTACTGTCATGGCGTACACACTTCGAGGAATCGAGACACTTGGTGTAGGAATAAAGTAGAGGAAGACTGGTAGACTTCGACTTTGCGAGCGATGTTGTCGTGTTACTTGGCCGTCGAACTAACTGACCACAGTCGTACGTACGTAAACGTACTGCTACCTAGTTGGACAATCAGTCTGAATAGTATGTGAACATCAAAGGGGTATATGAGAATTGTGACGAGTTAGGAGAAGCAGTGAAGCTCGATGAACACGCTACTGCAAAGATGGAGTCAGTGGGATAAGTTACTAGGCTGTCAGAATGGAGGCGATATGCTATTGTGTGGTGCAAGTTGATACAAATATGCGTGTATGGACAAGAACGTGATCGTTCATCTTAGCCCATTCATGAGACCTCGGGTGTTTGGAAATTACCGGTTTAATGCTTTGGATGTTGTTGACTTTCTCAAGATCGATCATGATCTCATGAAAATGTTTTGATGAGCTAAACTACTTGCACCATCGGAGGGGTTAGTTGACTATAAAATTTTGAGTCATCGTAAGTCTGCAGAGTAATTTAAGGAATTATATTTGATCTTGTGTAGGGACAGAAAGGAAATTAAATTGTTGATACTTTGTTCCTGCTCGACTTTCCTAGAACTATGGAACTAACTCTTGGTGTGTTGATAATCTGACCACAATTCGAAACCATTTTTGAGTGAAGAGGAACTGGTGGACTCGCATTTTCTGAGCTTAAGGAAGGATGAAGCAACAAAGAATAATGACTCCAGTGGGTATCATAGAGTTTCACTGGAATCCGATGACGTAAGATACGCATAACGCCGTGAAAACAAGAATCGGCTTTACCTTAAGGCTAGTTGTCCAACGACCAAAGAATAAGTTGCTGGCATACAATGGGTCCTCGTATGGATTGCTTTGCACTTGCTTCCACGGAACGAGTTACGCTGGGAAGATGAGTAGGCGCTTGTCGGAACGTATTCATGAACACCACCACCTTTTCTCTACAGCGGATCGGCAAAGCTACCGAACAATGCTATCCTAACTTATTTGGTCCAGTCTGACCTCCGGGCGGATATCAATCCAGGGTTCCGACCGATTTACCGCATCTCAGGTCGCTACTATAGACTAGTCGGACCTCATTGGCAGCTGTGTGCTATCCGGCTGCTCAAAGTTGAACCGGGCTCACAAACTGTTTATGAAATCCCGACTTCTGCGCTTCGACTTCCTCTGTCTAGGCTTGGGCACCCTGGCAATATTCCCGGCCCTTGTGCTTTTTTTCTGATACCATGGAAGTTAGGCACCGAAAGGGTGCTACAGCTGAACGATTGCTAATGAAAACACGGAACATCAGCCATCCATGGCAGCAGTCATTCCGTGCGTCGTCACAGGATGCTTTTCCTCCTGGACGAAAAGTATGGAGACGATTAGTTATGTGCACAGTTATTTGGACGAAGCCTCAAGACCACACCCGTTTGGTAGCAACTTACTTATAGCTCTATACAGTTTTCTACCACAATACAATGATTTTGTCGGGACAATTTTATTTTCGCTTTCTCCAAGTTTCCAATGAACCAACTTGGGAAGACCGTGAGGTTGTAGTTGCCTTGTATCCTTTGGTTTCAAAGCGTTGGCAGTAGTCTCGGTTTCACCCATTCAGTAAACTTTACATCTTTTCAGTTATTTTTTCCAAGGTGGGTTTATCATCAAGACAGCTTGGGGATCGAGAGTGTACGGTTGCTACAACTATGGTCTTCTCAAAATAAGCAAAGCAAGGATTAATCTCAGAATAGTTCAAACGATGGTGAGCTGCCCCGTGTTCACGTTAATGTGGTGGTTGATTCAAACACGACCCGATTCGGTCAGAATGGAGGCGAGATGGCTTAGTAGTAAACCATTGACCGGAAGTTCCGTGGTTCAAATCCGGCCTGTTTTTTATTTGTTTTTTTAAACAATTTTCACTTAACAGAAATATCACAGGATTTGAATGTCTAGGCGTCCAGTGTTTTGTGTGCTCCATATCGTGCGGATAGTTGTTACCGAGTTCTCCGCTTTTTTATTTCCAGATGTCATATCAGGTGCAACGAACACGGGCGTTCCCACTATGGCATCCAGCACACCAGCTACCATCAATCAACCCGTCATGGTTGCACCGATTGGGAGTCCTCCAGGGTCTGCTGTCTTGAACAACGGCTGTACCATATCCCCAAACTGTGGTGTCACCAGCAATACGACCAATGCATCTATGACTTACAGTAATGGACCTACTGGTATGGCCTCTCTGAGTACAGGGAACGGGAATGGTGGGAATCAGTGTGGTAATGGCTCCTCACCGCCAGCGGTAGGCAGCGGCGGAGACGTTCCATCTATCGGTGGCGGTGGTGGATCTGCGAGCAGTGCTGGTGCTGGTAGCAACAGTAGCGGCTCTGGAGGTGCAGGTGGATCCACGGGTGGTAGTGGTTCCTGCAGTGGAATGGGACATTCTGCTTCTTCGCAGCACTTGATCCAGTTTGAACCACCCGCGCGTCCAGGTCGTGGCTCTGATGGCCGTGCTATCAGCCTGCGCGCTAATCACTTCGAAATCCGCATGCCAAAAGGTTTCTTGCACCACTACGATGTGTCAATCGTGCCGGAGAAATGTCCACGACGTGTCAACAGGTGAGACATTCATCCTAATCTCCTACGATGCTTTGACATGTCATCAGCCACTTTTGACGCTGCATGACATTCTTGTGTTTTAAGAGTCCTGATTGCTTCATTTTGAACCGATTTTAGACTTACTCGTGGGTGAGACCTTAGCGTGGTTTTCATGAGCATACATACAGGTTTTCTATATCTGGAACAGCTTCCTGCGAGTAACCAATCGCTTTGTTTCGCGATCTCCGTATATGTCTGCCCACCGATAAAATACCATTTTTATGAATACTTCCATAAAGGAGGACAGTCCAGCTGTTAGTCAAAGGCAATTCCACTTGACAACTTGTTACACGGATTTTTGTTTTCTATTTGGCGAGACTGGAGTCTGGTGAAGGAGCACTCGGTTACCCTTGGTAAATCGTTGACCAGTTTTTTCAGGTCGTATCCGTAACGCCACTTAACCTTCTTTTCCTTCCATCTGGACGTTTTCACAGCTGCATTTGTCGGTTCAGTTTGCCGGCGCTGTTGCCGGCTTCTGTTTACTCTTCCGGATGACTCTTTAGACGTTATGCAACTTCTTGTCGTTTTTGAGCTGTTCTGTTCGATTTCTGCCATTGAATTTCCGATGATGAATTCTAACGCCCTGAGTATACTAGCTCCCTCCATTGAGGTGTTTTGGCATCTATCGCCTGGCTGAACGTATGTTGTGCCGGAATATGGTATTTGCTTTTCGCACTCGGTCAGATGAAACAGCAGGCCAGAGTTGAGTACTAGCTTGAAACCACCGGCCTTCCTCATAAGAAGGTGATGGGCGGGAGGCGTTTCCGTATCCTACATGTTCCAGTAGGATCTTTTGACACCATCATTCTGTCCGTTTCCAGTTATATCTCGATAACACAATTCGCTTGCTTTCCTCTTGGAGGTCAGTTCGATACTCTACCTCAGGTAGATATCCTCTTCACTGCTCTCTCGAATTCAACTTTTATATTCCCTTTTCTCAGAGAAATCATCGAAACTATGGTGAACTCAATGCACTACCAGAAGTACTTTTACAACCAGAAGCCGGTTTTTGACGGCCGGCGAAACATGTACACGCGAGACCCATTACCAATTAGTAAAGAAAAGGTACGTTGGTAAATTCTGTTAGCCTGTTGTCGATGAAAATCTCGTCCCCAGCTCATCTTGTGGTTGACTGTCACGGATGCTGTATATTTTGACGATCCGTAACTTGTCCGTTGGTTTTTGCTTTGGGTTATGCTTCATCCTCACCGTTTCCACCAGATGCATATATTTTACAAACACTTGCGGAATCTCGCATCGAAACCGCTGGCTGTTAGGTGCTGCTATGGCCAAGAAGCCTACCCCGCACGCTATTGTCCAGAGGATAAAAAAGATAATCGTTCAGCCGTAACACCATTTTGGTGCCTAGCTGCTATGCCACTAGAAGTAAACATGAGGGCTGGAATACTGCCAGGTTGCCCAAGCGTAGACAAGGGAAGTCGAGAGGCAGAGGTCGGGTTCGGGCTACTGCATCAAGGCGTGATTGGCCGAAGGTGTGAACCCAATAGCTAGTCATGATCCGGTGTCCGCCGAATGCCGGTTGCCAATTGCGCATCCAGAAGGCGTTGGAATTTCCAGAATGTTGTTACCTTGTGCACTTCAAGTATGACGCCCCGTATAAGTGTTTGCCTGGTTTTGGGCGTTTGATACGCATTGTGGTTCTTTTGATGAAAACGCTAGCTTGAAAGGTTGATTCTTAAAACTGAGGTGAAACATTACCGGTATTGCACTGTGGTTCTTGTGAATCAAGTTGGTCTTCTCGTAATTTACTTAATGTTATGATTTCCGCATCACAGTTATCCCCACCAAGAGAGAGCGCAACGAGGGAGGGGATATTTTACCCCTCGCTAGGTGGTCCATCGTTTTGTGCCCTGGAGAGAAGGAGCGCCCTGGTTAACGTGTGTAGAACATACATCTTTTCATTGCTCTAGGCGTAGAGGTCACATCCATTGTTTTCCTGCTTTGTTGGGAGGGTATTCCAATTTTTTGAATCTCCCCAGGTTAAAAGTTGGTAGAGTGGACAGCTACTACTTACACTGACCCATTGTCGTCTGCGTATGGTGGAGATGAGCTATCCCCGGTGTGAGGGGTTTATTTCTATAATATTGTCCCTCTAGGGGCTCATTTGTTTTAAGATTCGCCGTATCCCGAATACGAACATTGTCCCCAACGGATAACTTCCGCAAATGAGTGCTTCATAACGATGCTTCTTTCCAAAGGTCCATTAACGACTTCCTTGGTTTACGACAGTCTTTACTGCTTTGGCTTTCAGGCGTAGTGACACTGAGATTAGTCGTCATGTGATTGTTGTTGCACTCCCCTCGTCCCGACATTATTCGATCGGGTCTATGTAGGCACCCGTGGGACTACGCATATCATTGTCTAACGACGTTACCCAGTTGGTGATGCTTCTTCAATATCTAGCCGTATTCAGTCCTGTTCTGATGCCTTCACCCTGACGCCTGTCCATCAGCGTTGTGTCAGGTGAACGGAATTGCGGTGGATGACTCTATGTTGGCTCGTGGGTTTTTACTAACTGGCGAATTCTGGTCAACTGCAGACGATGTGCAGACAAGCAAATACCTATTCCTCGCTTTTTTGTCGTCTTTTCTAGGTTGAACTAGAAGTTACCCTTCCAGGTGAGGGCAAAGACAGAGTATTCCGAGTTGCTATCAAACATGTATCGGAGGTATCCCTGTTCGCACTGGAAGAGGCCTTGGGTGGTCATATACGACACATTCCCAACGACGCGGTAGTTTCACTGGATGTCATTATGCGACATCTTCCAAGTATGAGGTGAGTATCAGTCTATCTGTTTGGTATTTCGCCCAGCTAGCTCGTTGAACACATTGTTTGTGGCTAGATCTCTCCATTTGGTACATGCAAGAACATTTCGCTTATTTGTATCTTGTTTTACTAGCTACACGCCTGTCGGTCGTTCGTTCTTTCAAAATCCTGACGGATATGAGAATCCCCTCGGTGGTGGTCGGGAAGTTTGGTTTGGTTTTCATCAAAGCGTTCGTCCCTCGCAATGGCGGATGATGCTGAACATTGATGGTTAGTGCATGCTACTTTCCATGAATCTTGACTGTTTATCGTCACTAAATCCAGTCTTGTGCATTGCCGTGTTATTTAGAGGCTGGTTATCTTTGTCAGTCCGAGGTCTCCATCGTTTAATAACATAAATAGTAAATTCGAGAGCAAGAAAGTTAGTCCTACTGCCCACATATCAACCATTCAGTGTTTCTCACTGTCATGAACAACTTACATTATACCGCGTAATTTTTAGGCCATTCTCGTTAAACTTCAAGCCCGTAAGAAGTCAGGCGACTAAAGCTACTGCCGGAGCGAAGATCACAACCACTGGACGTGTACTTTAGTCGGGTTCACTTGCCTTGTTCTAAGGCGCAACCAAATCGACGAATAAACTCGTGTAATGACTTCTTCGTAAACACGCTAGCCAACCGTGACTGTGTTGATTAGCATATCACCGTGGATCTTTAAAACAACAGCATTGTTGCCTAGAATTTGGTCACGTGGCAAAAGTTAAGTATTCGTCTGAATGTCCCAGCTAGATGCTGGTTGTCGTGGGCATGTGCTGTTCAAGTGACATTGCCTATTGCTCCGAGTCTCCTATGGCACATGCCCAATCCAACGCAGCTAAGTCTTGCCTGTACAGCAAATTTGTACAGCTTAACCGAATTCTATTGTTGACTGAACCCGCAGACTATTGTTGGCATTGGGTGGTAATGGGTATAGTCAACAACCGAAAATCCTTGTAGATTAAAAGGCATCTACCTCTCGAAGCAATTTGTCCTCAATGTTTCGAAGACCTTCAGGCACAACACTGACAAGACAATGGGAAGCGAGTTTGGTGTACATGAACAGGAAGTCGAGTAAGGCGGATTTGGCTACCTTTCAAGAAACAACTAGTTCAAGTCACCAATAGTTTGTCAGTGCGAACAGTGCTGTGGTTGTGTGGACACATCCTGCGCTCTGTGGAGCGGAGATGAGTTGGACCATAGCAAGTACAGCCCACGAACAAGGCTATCAGACCGAACGGTGGCACTGCTTAAATCTTGAAGAGATATCCCAGCCGGTCCCGAACATAACCCAGTGCGAAGAATTATCAGACGTCAAGTGAATGTAAGCGTGTGAGCCGATCGTGAAGAATGGTGGATACAGAAAGCCAAAGAAATGGAAGAGGCCCAGATAGCCGGTAATCCCCGAAAATTATTTCAGTTGATCCGTGCGACCGGTCCCCGGAAACTACCTGTGAGCGAAAGCATCAGAGTCGAACATCTCGAATAAATATTTGACAGAACCGTAACAAAATAAGAACTCCTCGACCGGTGGGCTGAATACTTCGAACAACAACTGTCGTGGCCACCAGCTGGTACTCATCTAGAGCCCACAGGTGAAGTAGAACCCTGGACGATGAACGTGGAACCCTCTACATCCTCGGAGGTTTATGACTACATATTTTCTTTCAAGCGCCACCGAGCCCTTGGTCCGGATGACCTCCAGCCCGCGTTGTTCAAAGACGGGGACGAAGTCCTCAGTCAACGCTTGCCTGATCTGTTTGCTTGCATTTTGGAAAAGGAGCCTGTCTTAGAGAAGTGGGGAAAGTCGGCGATAGTGCCCATTGTCATAAAAGGAGCAGTAAATTTAGGCTTGCATCTTCTCAGTTAGGCATATTTTTTGTGCCAATTTCTGTTATCAAGTTTGAGCACCATCCCACTAGTGGCTTCTCTACTTTGTTTGCATTACTTTTAACATCAATTCACCGTTTCTATTTTATTCACCTGTGCAGTATCGGCCACAGCATTCTACAAGGCGCAGTCTGTGATCGACTTCATGTGCGAAGTTCTTGACATTTCTGACAAGAGTGAGCAGCGGCGTGCATTGACGGATAGCCAAAGGGTGAAGTTTACCAAGGAAATCAAAGGTAGGACAGTGTAGCGTTGTTTTATCGCATTCTACCCTCTACTATTGATTCTCGCCAGTCAGCTAGTTCGCTTTCTAGGCAACCGTGTGACCTCGTTCCTAGCCATCGTAACGATGAGCTTCGTGTGTTGTACCCGTGTTTATGTCCGTTAATGTGGTAGTTCATGTGGCTTAAATCAAGTCATCCCTGGTAGTCTGCTGTTCACAACCAGTTTCCCTCTGTACCTCATCTTTCAGCGTTATTTGGATTTTGATAATTCAAGCGGACGCCCATATTTTGTCAAACCCACTACGCTGGAATAAATCTAAGTATTTTAGAGTCCTCTGCCACTGATCGAGTTCGATAAGGTTGTAGTACCATGATACTGTAACTGATGTCCACTTTACGCCTAATCTATTCTCCCGTCTCTTCCTAAACCTTCTTCGTGAATTCCGCTTCGCCTATTCCTAATGTACGAAAATCGATTCTCCCATCGATCTAATGCCTGATTGCTGGTCACACGACACGCGCATTTGTACCATCAGTAAACACCGCCAGTCCTGTCCTTATTCGGGTCACTCCGTTTGACCTGAAAACTTAACAACTTTGCATTGATTGAATGCACACTTACTGTATCACCGCTTGGTGAATCAGAAAATCCACAAAACGTTCATTGTGGTGCCTGACCGGCACTTAGTAGTTGGCATTCAGCTCTGTCGAAAGTGGAACACTGTTAATTTATCGAGCTAGACACGAACTTTGGGGCTTACAGACTCAGCGCCACGTTGGTCGCGTATCCAACTTTATTTGGATCTCTCTGTGTTTTTTTTTAACGTTTTAACGCCACTGTATTGCTTTTCGCTTCAGGTCTCAAAGTGGAAATAACACATTGTGGAACGATGCGACGAAAATACCGTGTGTGCAATGTAACGAGACGTCCGGCTCACACGCAGTCATTCCCTCTGCAGCTCGAAACTGGCGCTACGATGGAGTGTACGGTCGCGAAATATTTCCAAGAACGATACAATATCCGTCTAGAGTGAGTGTTTCCGATTTCCCGCACGGGCATACGTTCGGAAGGACATACAAGCGTTCTGTTGTGCTTGAGGTTTTGAGTAGGTTACAGCTCTCTCTAATTCCGCACATAAACGAACGGCAAACCACATTGATTCCTCCTAACAGTAAAGTCATCCTAAAAGGACACGAATCCCTTTTTTTCATACCGCAGGAGAACCCTACCCTCACCCGGAGAAAACATTTAAGAAGCAAATAATTTTCTTTTTTGCTGATAGTGCTCATTGTACACGGTCAGTGTGTTTCGGGGTGTGTGTGGTGTCATGTCTGTATCATAGTACCTCTGTGCAGCAGACTGCAGAGTGATGATGGCTCCACCTGGATTTTCACACGTAATATTTGCTCTCATCAGCTTCGCTTATTTATCAAGCAATGGTTCTCAATCCCACTCTTGTTCTCAGGTATCCTCATCTACCTTGTCTGCAAGTTGGCCAGGAACAGAAACATACCTATCTACCCTTGGAGGTGTGCAACATGGTCGCTGGACAGCGATGTATAAAGAAACTCACGGATATGCAAACTTCAACCATGATCAAAGCGACTGCACGGTCTGCTCCGGACCGGGAGAAGGAGATCAATAATCTGGTAGGCTGCGTAGAATTACATATCGCAACTAGGTGTAATGCTGTTGTACACTGACACTTTTTGCTCGTGTGCGGTGGTGTACCGCCATTCGCTCGGCATAGTTCAGTTGTTTGGGCGCACACCGGAAGGTTCGTGGTTCTTGCCCAATCACGACATCTCGGCCGCTCCTGTCTAGGCTCGGGCAACCTGATTTTATACCGAGCCTCGTGCTTTCTTTTGGTGGCGTGGCAACTAGACACCGAAGGGCTGTTACAGCTGAACAATTTGTTTATTTCATTATTCCGATCCAAGTTTCGTCCTCAATAATGTCCAAATACGTTCGTTCTCCAATAGCTCGTTCCCCAATATCTCCCCAGTCTCCATCGTCCCCACATCTAATCACAACAACCTTACTAGTATTTACGTGCGTTGTCGCAGTGAAGGCCACCAAAAAAGCAACCTATCACCAGTCTTTCAAGAAGACGACTAGGAGAGGACCAGCGACTTCTATTCAGTATCACATCCCACGTTGTCATCAAAGAAGTTTCCCTGAACGCTGTAAACACCAGCCAGGTGGCACTTTGTGAACTTTCTGCATTTGCTATTTCAAATTAAACGCAATAATTGGGAAGGTGTTCCGTAATCGAAGACGAAATCTTACGCGTTCACCTTAGAAACGGGGGTTTCAAAGTTTTACTCAAAGCTCCCAGTAGGCTTGTAATAGTGAAAGATGGCCCTCGCTGCGGAGTTATTTAGAAAACGCTAACTGAACAGTTACAGATCATTGGACAGGGGAGCAAAACTCTCATGCATCTTGTTTTACAAAAACTGAATATCCATCTTCCACCCGAACGCGTCTTCCTGAACTTTTCTGGATATTCATTGACTGTTGCTCAAATGGAAGCAAATACGATTCCACAAACTCCGTAATAGATCTCACTTTTCAAGAGACACGAAGCGGATTTACGAGGGAACATACTACTCGCAAGCCCTCATCAGTAGTATCCACCGTTACAATAGGACTCTAGGTCTACTATCGAAACTAGTGCGAGGTCCTGCACTGAGTACTTGCTGTTTACTACTTTAGCAAGATTTTTATTGCCGTTTACTTTCCACAAATCATGGAATTTAATTGGTTCTCGTGTAATTTCTATCCGTCGTTCTTTTTTCTAATTATTTTTTAGGTCAAGCGCGCCAACTTTAACGCGGATCCGCACCTGCAGATGTTTGGAATCAACGTTAATACACGGATGGCCGAAATTCAAGGTCGTGTCATACCTGCACCGAAGATCCAGTACGGTGGTCGAACCAAGGCTCAGGCGTCACCACAGCTGGGTGTCTGGGATATGCGTGGCAAGCAGTTCTTCTCGGGTATCGAAATCAAGGTTTGGGCTATTGCCTGTTTCGCGCCCCAGCGCATAGTACGAGAGGACTCTTTGCGGTACGTTCTCCTGTGACTTTGTTCGCGATACCTAACTCGTAGGACAGGAAGGCACTTTACGGTCTAAAGGTAGTCAGCTTCAATGTCTGAGTATATTCGTTGTTATCCATTACTCTTTATCAGCCCATTTATTGAGCCCCGCTTGTGTCCCGGAGGAGAGAACGTATATTCAACCACCCGTAGCTTCAATAAAAAACAATTCCCCATGAATAGCCAGTTTTCGTTGGCCTCTTCATGAGGGCGACAACTGAATCGCTTTATTTTTCTGTCTACATGGCAGTTATCCACCTTGACGGCCGATTATCAGTGGGATGGCAAACTGTCCAGAACGTTAGACCTTTCACCGTGGTTTAGCATGTTACTCGTCTGCTCACTCACTAAAAGCTGTTCAGCTTAATCTCGGTTGTAACCCATTGGTCAATAGTTCGATCCATATCATGACTGTTTTATTACTTTTAGTGTAACGATGATACAACCATTCAGCTAGTGACAACAGGCACCTTTTCTTGTATTTTCATTTCACGGTGTACCCACATGGGAAAAGGTTCTTATCAAACCGACTGTTGCGATTTGCACAGACTGGACCGTCCACATTTTGTGCATCAACCTGCCATAAAAATGCAAAGTCCTGCGTAACTTTAAATGGCACAGAATACAAGAAATTTTGCATGACGTTTTAACCTACGGTGCTTTGTGTCCTGCAAAGTGGTTGAATCAAAAGAAGGTTCACTTCTGCAATTAAATTAAAGCCGAAATTTCTGCTGCTACCTGTTTGGTTAGGAAATTAGAAGCGGACGCGCAAATGATACAACATCACCATGAGGTTCCAGGAACTACACCTCCAAAAGTTATTCCGCGCAAAATTATGATGCTAACATAGATAGCCTGATAACTACTACCCACAAATGAATTTCACAAGTTTGAAGTGTATAATGAGGAAGATTAAATTGGACGCAATCTCAAGAAATCGCGCGTGCAAGACGGCATTACGATCTTTGAGTTCATGTCTTTGTGCGGCTACAGACTGACAGTCGGCTCATCCACACCTCTGGTAGACTTATTTATCCAGGGGACGAGATGGCTTAGTAATTAGAGCGCGAATTTACTAACCGGAAGACCCATGATTTGAACCCGACCCCTGCTTCTCGACCTCCCCTGTCTAGGCTTGGACAACCTGGCAGTATTACAGCCCTCATGCTTCTTCGGGTGACATGGCAGCTAGGCACCGAAAGGGTGTTACAACTGAATCGTTATCCTTTATTGAATGATTATCCAGGATACCACTTGTGTCCGATGATCCCGAGCGTTTTCCGGTGAATGTTTGCACTGCACCCTGTTGTGAATTTCGCGTTTGACAAAACTTATTCAAGTAACAATGTCTGCCACAACGTGGTTTCTCAGATAACAAGGATAGTTTTTTGGCCTATGCTCGTCGCTAGTACTAGTTCCCCCTTTGGCATCAATCATCAACACAGACACGGACTCTAACGGGTTAGCTCGCTGCTAATTATTGTTGGGGTATCCTACTTGTCAACCTTTGTTGATCCCGTTCATTGCGTGCTTTCGATGCACGCGCACAAGCGGCCGCTACTTAGCTGGATCTGACCCGGCGGTGACTCACATAGACCGGAGCAGCCTCTGTGACAATCTGCTCCCGCCTCGTTTTCATGGTGTGTGATTTACTAATTGGTGAAGTCTGTCATGCATTTCGTTGGTTCGGTGGTTGCGCACAAAACGCAGCAAAATACTGAATGTGTACGAATCCTCCTTCGAACAGATTAGACACTAGTTCGTGGCTGACGTTGAACCAGTGGCTTTTCTTCTCCGATGCTGTTTTATCGTGTTTAGTTAGCTGGCGTGATAAAATACTTATGTACCAGACCTTCAAACTTCATGTTTACTTGGCGGTTACAGGCCTCTTGTTGATTTTAGTGGTGACGTCACGGATGAATTTTCACAGGAAATAATTATTCTCCATATTCTTTCACAGGCTGTTTACTCTGCAGCTTCAAAAGATCTCCAACGACGCGGGCATGCCTATTTTGGCCCAACCATGTTTCTGCAAGTATGCAACCGGACAAGACCAAGTTGAACCGATGTTTCGTTACTTGAAAAACACTCATGCGGGTCTTCAACTTATTGTTGTTGTTTTACCCGGAAAAACTCCCGTATACGGTAAGTTAACCCCAATGCGCTGTTATCCTCCTAATGAAGTGTTTGCGTAATGCATCTTACCGTCCCTAATCCACTTCTCCTGTTTTTACTCTGCAGCCGAAGTCAAACGTGTGGGTGATATAATGTTCGGACTTGCAACACAATGTGTGCAGTCAAAAAACGTGAACAAAACATCGCCACAAACGCTGTCTAATCTCTGCTTAAAAATTAACGTGAAACTAGGCGGTATCAATTCGATCATTGTGCCTAGTGTCCGACCTGCTGTTTTTCGGGAACCAGTTATCTTCCTCGGCGCCGATGTGACTCACCCGCCGGCGGGAGATAAAACCAAGCCTAGTATCGCTGCCGTCGTGGCTAGCATGGACGCGCACCCAAGTCGTTATTCTGCCACTGTCCGCGTGCAACCTCATCGCCAGGAAATCATCCAAGACCTCTATCCTATGGTCAAGGATCTGTTGCTTCAATTTTACCGGGCCACCCGTTTCAAACCGACTCGAATTATCTACTATCGTGACGGTGTTAGTGAAGGACAGTTTCTCAATGTAAGTCTGCTATTATATGGAAAGTTTTATAGTAAAAATAGTCTAGTTAAATAAGAACCTTTCGGGTTCTGTGAGAGACGTTCCAAGACTTCTCCAATCAATCGAATACGGGTCCGCCATCATGTGTCCTCTTATGGGTGTGTTCCTGAGGTCACCTGGCAGTCATATGCGACCGGCATTTGTATGAGTTTGTTTGTAATTGTGTGTGCGTATACTCGTGGTTACGCGTACTTTGGCTAGGATGTGCCTTCGTTCATCCTTGCATCAGATGTGATGTGTCATTGTTCGGACTCCTGCTTGACGTCTGGCCACTAGAGTGTGCAGTAAGTCCATTGCTGGCTTCATCGTTACGGCTGACGTAGTTCGAATGTGTGCTGATCTCTAGGGCCTCAACACACATCTGACCTGAAACCTGCCTACAATCTGCATGTTCCACTGAAGTCGAATGCGTAGAGTTCGATGGCTGATTCGCGTTCAATTTTATTAAATTCAGTTGGACTTTTTGGAGGAAAGTGAACATTGCCGTTTGTGCTCCGTGATTCACGCATGGATTCGCCTGACTGTCTGTCTGGTTGGTGTTAACAGATAACATGTAGCCTAGAAACTTCATTTTTATTCGTTCGCGCTCACTTCCCATGGTGGTTCTCGTACTACTCATTGTTTGTTTGAAAAGTTTGAGAAAGCTTACTGTTTTGTGGTTGATACATAGTCGCGCATTCGTTGTCAACTTACTTTAGCCAATTGCATGGTGGATAGGCGAAGTCACGTGAGGCTAAGTTTCAACACTGTGCAAGAAAAGATTAGCTGTTGTGGGTGATACTGGAGAGCCTATATAGACACCGTCAGTCTGCCTTGCAGGGGGGTGGTGATGGAGGCCACAGATTGTCCTTCTGTTGTTTCGCCATGCGGGAGAGTTCAGCTCCCACTAAGCAACATCTCGAATGAGTAAACTCCCCAGTGTTTGCCACAGGTTTTGTATAAAGCCATTCCCTCTACTCCCATCCAGGAAGATGGGATCTGTGACCAAAACTAAATAAATTGGCCAGCGATTTCGTCTCTGTTGAATGTTTTATCCCTCTCGTTTACAATCATTGGCTGATCCAACGAAATCAATCGTTGATACAGGCGCTTTAATGCCCCGGTCGTGTCAACTAGCTGAGTGCTCATTCCCGCGCGTCGTTCGCTTAATCCGAGACCATCTAGTGTATAGTTCCCTCTAATGCGGACCAACCTCCCATGGGATTTGATCAAGGTGGTTTGTTCTGGACAGGAGATTCCTATTCGCTAGTCCATAAAAACCACGGTTTTTTGTTACAGCCAAAAATCCCGAATGGTGTAATTTTTAGAGCACCTTGCTTATTGCGTTTGCATTTCGAAGTAGCTTGTTTGAAATAGCAATCGTCCAAAGTGGTAACTAGGCATGGAAAATTAGTTGGTACCAAGCGCGGGGTACTGTGGAGCGATCCCGGTGGCTTTGAAATCGGTCTGCTGTTTCTTTTTTGGTTTGTTCGATCAGTTATCTCCAACCTTCTCTTCTGCATAAAGAGCATTATCTATGGTACTATGTTAGACGCAAGTTCACTGAGATTGTTCAGTCACCTTAATTTCGTATCGGTTCGATTCAAGAGTGCTTCAGAAGTGACTTAAAGTCGCATAGCATTGCAGAATTAACGTTATCGAACTACTGCAGCCGGCCTTTCAGTATCGATCGAGTCGTCCCAGTCTCTCTACAAAAAGGAGACATTTGAACATTTTTCTGAAACACTGCGCTATACGGTTGAAGAGTACCTCTTGTCTGCCCAACCCTTTTGATTGCAGGATGGTGCGGGCTTAACCCTGGTTTTATCCTGGAAACGTAGCTGAATAGGCCGTAGGTATATGCACATCGTAACCACTACTCACACCTTAAGATAGGCGACAAACAGACCTTTGTCATGTGACCCTTTGGTGACCTTCAACAGCGATCTGGGATGCACATGATCTTTGCGTCTGCCTACAGACTACAATTATTGACAAATTCCGTGGGTCCTAATGCGCTTTCAATCGCGCCCGCAGTTCCGGTTGTTTATGTGTACGATCAATTATTTCGGCCGCAATCTTTTTCATCTTCCCGTTCGTACAATTTTCTGAAGTGCATTTCTAGCTACCGCTGGCCTGTGTCCATTCACTCCTGTGTAACCTTCGTTCCGCTAGGTTCTCAACCATGAACTCCGTGCAATTCGCGAAGCCTGCGTCAAACTCGAACTGGGTTATCAGCCCGGAATCACTTTCATCGTGGTTCAAAAACGCCACCATACTCGACTGTTTTGTGCAGATAAAAAGGATCAAATGGGTAAATCTGGCAACATCCCCGCCGGCACAACGGTGGACCAGGTGATTACGCATCCGACTGAATTCGATTTCTACCTGTGCAGTCACGCGGGCATCCAGGGAACCTCCCGTCCCAGTCACTATCACGTGTTGTGGGATGACAACCGGTAAGTATTCAAAGGTGTCTAAACTGTTGCGTGATCTCCGCATGATTGGTGTATGTTTTTGTGAGTGACATCTCATGAATGCTGCGAGGTTCGTCGAGCCTCCGCTTGTACATAGCTGTGCACTCATCACCGTGTTCCCCTCAGTATGACCTACAAGGTAGTCTGCAGACGTGTGATGTTGGCAGTTGGAATTCCCCGTGATTCCTTCGTGCTGCCGTCTAGACGTGGGTAAACTGGAAGTATCTCAGCTTGAGGTGGCTCAAGTGGTTAGAGCGCGAATTTACTGACCGGAAGGTCCGTGGTTCGAACCCGACCTCTGCCATTCGACTTCCCCTGTCTAGACTTGGGCGACCTGACAATATCCCTGCCCTCGTGCCTCCTTCGGGTGGCCTGGCAGCTAGGCACCGAAAGGGTGCTACAGCTGAACGCTTATATTTATTACTATTATTATCTCATCTCCCCCTTTCCTTCTGGAACTATGAGATCTATGAACTGGTTGGATGATACGGCTGGTTGATTTTTCATCTTGCGGTTGGGATTTAGAAATCTGCCAAAGCTCCGATTTTCAGGGGATATGTCCAGCACTTATACCATTAAACCGCTGCCACGCGATTCGTAGATATAGTATCTCTGCCAAATTCAACACTAGAAACGCCCATTCTCTGTTTTATCTGAGCAAGTCGTGTAATCCTTGCGCTTTTTGGGCTTTTATTAACATCACCGTTTCGCATCTTCCCCCGACAGCTTCAGTGCGGATGATATCCAAAATCTGACGTACCAGTTGTGCCACACCTATGTGCGGTGCACCCGATCTGTGTCCATCCCGGCTCCAGCCTACTATGCGCATCTGGTCGCTTTCCGTGCCAGGTACCATCTGGTTGAGAAAGAAATCGACAGGTATGTCTTTTAGTGGCTTCGCGTTGATGCTATTCCCCAAACTCAATTTGCTCACATTTCGTTGAAAATCACTTTGTCATATCTTTGCTGTGTGCACTTTTCCGTCAGCTGAACCACAAATAGCTTTTTCTGATGTTAATAGGTGTGATTACTCATAGGGTGGACTTGTTTCTTCTTGGCCTGGCGATCCCGCGTTTCTCCGAATCGTAGTTCTATGCAGTCATCCATTTTTACACTGTTCTCCAAGAACCGATCAGCTCATGGGCAGTCTACACTGTTGGGCACCTCAATCCGGGAAAACATCCAGCGTCATCGACTGCGATGATTCGGTCATGTGCTACGCATGCCGAAACACCGTCTACCGAGACGGGTGTTATTCTCCGTGCCTCCTTCAGGATGGCGCAAGCCGCGAAGTGGACAGCACATGACTTGGCAGAAAGGCGTGAAAGAGATTACGAAGAGTTTGGGTGTTGTTGGTGTTGTGCGACTTCCAGGATGGGGTCTCCGTGGCCCCGTCTATTTTGGCTGGAAACGTTGCAAGAAATGGCAGCTAATCGATGTCAGTGGCGTTCGTTGTGTCAGTTTCTTTCCAGATTGTCTGATTGAGCGGTTGGAGGTGCAGGCTCCTCGGTATGCTTGACATAGGCCAGCACTAGGTCCCCTCCCCCACCCACTCTTTTCCTGTTCTTTCCACTGGAGGGCTTTTAATATAATTGAGATCGG